ATTATAGCTTTTATTTCAAGATTTCAAAATGGCCAATAAACCTACATTTAATGTAGTGACACAACACCCTGATGAGAAATAGGCACATGGGTCCAAGCACTGTGATTTTATAACTTAAGAAAACGGATAGTCATTGCAATTTACAACAGTGACTTTATTTTTAGAATAGTATTCTGGAGAATATACCAGATGATTTTCAAACCTCTCCTGCCCCTCCATTCTATTGTTACAGGATTCTAATACAGAATGAGCACATAGCATTTGAAGTCCTTTGGAAAAGCAAATGTAGTACATAGCTGAGCATTGGATCCTTTAGGAAGCTATAAATAGGGGAAATTGTGAGAATGCAAGGCATCTGAATTTTTTAGACCTGTTCCCTGATACAGAGCTGGTTTGAGTCCCTCCCACAGACTGCAAACATGGATACTGCATCCTGCACCTCCAGGACACTGTTCACATAAAGATCTTAGTGAAGGACCCCCCTGAATTGTGCAGTGCGCAGCCTCTGCAGGCACGGATATGGGCCCTGCATGGAGAATGGGCATTTGATTACTTGTCCCATTTCATGCTACCCATTAGGCACACAGTAAATAAGAAAGTGACAAAGAAAGAGTAAGAGAAGAGAGAGAGAAAGAAAGACACAGGTGAGGGGGGAGGAGGAAAGAAAGAAGAAGAAAAGAAGGAAGAGACTAAGGGAGGAGAAAAGGAAAGATGGAGAAAAGAAGGAAAAACAAAGAAAAGGAAGCAGGGGAGCAAGGAAGGGAGAGGCAAGAGAGGGAGCATTTCTATGACTGAACTTGGGAAGGAAACAGATTGAAACCCAGCTGATCTTTTGGTCAGCCATGCCCCAATCAGCAAATCAACAAATGGGTCCTATCATACAGTCTCTATAAAGAATTCAAAAATCCCAGGAGTCACTCCTGTTTTAAAATATGCTGGTCTTTGAAAGTTAGGAAAGAAGAATGGGAGTAAGAGGCAGGTAGCCTGACTATGCTAGAAGGATTCCAAAAGGATAGACCTGGAGGACAATAGGGAGAAGAGCAAACAATGAGGTGAGGCATCAAGAAGTAATGGCATCTGTGTTATCCAGATCCGGGTGGGAAGATGCCATCGTTCAGGTTGAATCCCACTGGCTTATTTTTCAGATTCTCGCAATTGGTGGAGAAACCCCCAGCTACAGGAAAGAGATGATCACTGCAGAATTGTAAGGACTAAAAGAAAAGAAAAGTCACTGGCCTGGGGTTTTTGAAAAATTGTCTCACTTGAAGCAAGAATTTGAAGTAGATGCTCTCTTATCCTCAGAACCCTGTGCAATGCTACAGATGAGTCACTGCCTGCGAAGCAGTCCCCAATGTAGGGTAATGCGGTCTATTTCATCTGCATAAAAGTCACATGGATGCGTATCATCGGTGTCACAGAGATCAGCCTTTAACAGACATCCTACACTGCAACGCGGATTAACAATGCATGCCAATTTTTACCTAGTTCCTATTTTGTTAATTTTCTCAAACCTGGATGAACTTTAAAACAGGGAGGTAAAAGACACACACACACACACACACACACATATATATGCTTACATACACATACACACACATATATATATACACACATTACTCAAGATATTTAGTCTGCAGCTAAGTTTGAGAATGACTGCACTAAACTATATACCGCTGGTGAATGATACTGTATCTTATTTGTCCCTAGACTATATATTGTTAAATATAGATAAATACTTGTTTCATATAAAAAGGCTTTTTTGAATCAATGTAATACGTAAGACACAATAAATGGAAAATGAGACAAAGCACATTTACAGCCTGTGGTCACTGCTATGATAGATCTCCTTTCAGAGTGCTATGAAGTTACAAAGAAGGATACTCTCACCTCACTAGTTCTCCTAATGCAGAGCCATCATTTCCAACTTTTGCTTTAAGAACCTGAAGCAGGCATGACCCCGTCTTGGAGGAGCACCTCCAAGAAAAGCGGGGAATGAAGCGGGGAATGAAGCAGGAGCGACCCCATCTTAAAGGAGCGCCTCCATTACAAACTATTAGAGTCCTCTGACTGGAAACTTGCCTTCTCCTCTGTGCCTTAGAGTAAACAGAGTAATTAACATTCCTATTGTCTTTTAACCCCACTCCTCCTAACCACCCTAAAATGTTCCTCAATGATGCAATCAGCCAGACCCCTTGCCCTGAGCCATGAAGACCATTGAAACTCCATTGTGATCAGACCATGCCCTCAGGAATGATTAACCTGCTTGCTTTGCTTCTGTAACTGGCTTTTTGCTTTGAAGATAGAAAATCCTGCCCCCATCTCTCCTGATGCCCCTTCACTTTGTTCCTGTGCCCTTGTAAATCATCTGCGAATTTTTGGCCTATATAAGCTCCTTTCTCCTTTCACTCAGGGCTGCGGGTTTTTGAGAGACATGAGTACCCCCTTAGGCCGCCGGCTTCATCAATAAACTCCAATAAATTTGGCTATGTCTGAATGTCCTCTTATTTCTCACTGAGTAGACTATAACAAATCTAGTAAGGACTGGGAGATGCTAGGATGACAAACAAATACGGCAGTCATGGTGATGGGGTTTAGCACAAACACTAAAACCTGCATCCCTTTCTCTCTTTTATAAAAACAATCTTCGGAAGAGTGTGGTTAATTCAAGAGTACATTCCTATGCAGAATATTTTAAAATGTACTCTTTGGGAACCGAGCCATCAATAAATGCATAAGTGATATTAATATTTACCCTTAAAGTATCTCTTAACAAAACATGTTAGGAAAGGATTCTAGATCACACTCAGAAAATCTTGTGTCTCTGAATTCTTACTTCTAGAACTAATTTGTTGTTTTGCCAATAACATCTATACTAAGCTTTCCTACGTTATTTTTATAAAGGCAATCCTTCTTATTATGTAGAGTAACATCGCAAAGGAAGTGTCATTAGACACTTTTAATTTTAATTACACCCTTGTGAAATAGTGTAACAAATAGGCTTAAACTAAAATTTACAGGGATCCAAAGATGCCATTTCCACCCACCTATGTTTTAATTCACTTATACAATTTTTAAAAATTTAAACATTTAAACATAGACTACCATAAATATATCATAGCCCTTTGTACATCTAATACCAACACGAAAAAGACACTTACATTCTAGCAAATGTCTTCAGCTTTTCTTTTTGTTCTAAGAGAAAGATACCTTTTAGAAATGAAGAAATACCTATCTCCCCACCTCTTCCATGGTTGAACTGTGTATCCTTCGCTGTCCTGTGCTTTTACTGTATTTTATGTGTAATATTATACACATTATATAATGTATATAACACATGTACTATTCTGCTGAACACTTGAAAGTATTACCCATGATTTTGCCACTATCAAATCTCAAATTATGTCTCTTTTGATTCATACAGATATAGATCATGCATTTTAATGACAATGGAGGACTCCAATATATAAACAAGTCAGTTTATTTATTTATTGAACTGTGAACCAGTACTGTGGTTTAAATTTGTCTCCCAGAGATTCATGTGTTCAAAACAATCTCCAATGCAGCAGTGTTGAGAGGCAGAAAAATCAATGTCATTATCGCTGGGGTGGGCTAGTTATTTTGGGGGTGGGCTTGTTTTTACCGTCCTTTACTGTTCCCTCTTACATACTTGCTTGCATTTCCACCATAAGACAAAACCCTTCCCAAGTAGTAGCACCGTTTTATTGGACTTCTCAGCCTCCAGAACTGTGAGTTGAATAAATATCTCTATTCATAACTTACCCAATCTGGGATTCAGTTATAGCAGTCAAAAACTGACCAACACAATGAGTTAGGTTCTTTCAATGTTTTGCTATTACCAGCATTTTGCAGTGAATAGTATGACAAGGTATATTTTATGCAAGTGTGGGCATTTCTCTAGAGAATACACTTTAGGAATAGTTGGGACTGTTAGGATATCAGGCATATACATTATTATTACTACACACTGTCAAATTACTCTCCAGAATAATTATGTCCATTTTTTCTCATACGTGTAAAGCTGCTTATTTCCACATAAATTTTCCAAAATGTAGTTTTATAGATCTGTAAATTTCCGTAAATTTAATGGGTATATTATCTAACATTGATCTTGACCCTTTTTGTTCTTCAAAATTCTAGGTTATTGTCTGCCTTTTAAAGGTAATTTTTTATATTTGCCAGAGGGTTTGTAAGCTCGCCAGAGAAAGAGAGAGAGAAAGTCAGAAGGCACCCCCCATGGGGAATGGTCATGCCACAATCCCCTCTCCTCCATTTTTCCCTCCATCTGGGATTTTGCGCACACATACACACACACACACACACACACACACACCTGGTTTGTTTCTCAAGTCATGAGGTCTGGGACTCACGCCTTGTGGTTGGCCATGTGGAATCCAGCTGCTATAACCTTTATACCATGGCTGAACTCAGATGACGTTTTTATTTTTTTCTTTTATTTCTTCCATGAGAAAAAGGAACACAGACAGACAGACACCCCCAACAGCGTCTTCATGTAGTGATCTACCCCTAGCATTAGCCAGCCAGGATCACAGGCATGCACATGTGCCCAGCACGAATAGGGAGACTTAGCACAGGAATCCAAGAACTTTTCATGTAGCTGCAGCATTGAAGAACATGGCAGTGACTGGTGAACAGGTGATTTTAACATGTCAAATCTATTGAGTATGTACTATGATTAATGGGTGTGTGCATGTGTATATACACACAGGTATGAATGTAAATATATAAGTATATACATACACATATACACACTTAAGTGTGTTTGTGTGTGGAATTTATTCCATTCTGTTCTGTTCTCATTTACCATTTCTCTTTGCTTCAGTTTGGCTTTAATTTCCTTTTTCTGTTTTATTATATTATATTTCTCTTGTTCCCATTTACTAATTTAATTTTTTTGTTTTTTTCTTTTCCTTTCTGTAGCACACATGCTTACCAAAATTTAAAGTCAATCACATCATTACCTTCCTCCTGAATGATGGATGCAAAGACGTCTTTCCAGCTTTCTTGTAGTCATTTTCCAGTAATATAATCTCGATTTATTTTCATATCATAAAATTAGTCATTTTCTCTCCTGTCTTTAAACAAATTAATACATATAGATTAACCTCAGGTTTACTAATTTACTTGCTCACCATTTTTGCATTCTACATCATCTGCTTTTTGAAAGATATTATTTCTTGAGTATATCTACTTAATAGTTTCCATAAAAGTTTGGTAAAATGTCTCATGGTTCATTTTTCTGAAAATATGTATTGTTTTCTTTTATTCTGTGCTAACTCCATGTTACTTTTTTGTTGTAAGTATCCTACTTTCAAGGATGCAATATCTTCTCTTTGAGTATACTAATTATAGTTTCCTTTTCCTTTTTCTCTACTCCTTCGTAATCTCTTTCCTCCATGTTGCCGGTTTCTATGTATTTTAGTGTCTTTGTTCCTTGTTGGAGAATCTTCTGAACATCTAGAAAGTCTTTATGTCTTCTCATAATTAAGAGCAAGGGAGTGAAACACTATAAAACTGATCAGAAACACTGATGGGACAGGACATGGTATTGACTATTTTACATAGCATAATCTGGGTGGTCACTTTTGGGGAATCAGCCCTCCATCCTACCTCCCTGTATCTTCCTGCCTTTCCTGTAGGGTTTTAAAAGTGACTTAGGGGAAAGGTTTCCAATCTTCTGCCTTGGCGAGGACATGGTTCTCAAACCAAAATGGAAGAGTGTGCTAGGGACTCAGATTCGGCATGGTTTTGGTACATAATCCTTTCCATCCCATGACTGCTTGGATCCCCATTTCACCATGTGTAGAGAATAAACCCTAGAACTTTTGAAGTGCCAGTGGCTTAGCTGCCCAAAGTCATGGAGTGAGGGAAAGCATCTGCATTCTCCAACAGATTTTCACCAAATCTTCTTGGCACTTCCTCACTTATTTCCAACTTCTAAGATAGCTAGTATTTGTTTGTCTTTTTCTTGCATTTACTTTCAATCAGCTTTATAAAATGGGAAGGCTATAAGAGTCTATGAAGGAGAATTAGTGCAAAATATCTATTTCTCTCAAGACTGGAGACTTATTGACTTCTCTATTTGGGGCTTTAAAAGCCAAAATTAATGACTTGCCCTCAACTTTCCAGTTGTTCACACTTCTGTCTCTTGCCCTAGATGCCAAAAACATCAGCTCGTATCTTCACTACTCTTAATTTCAGCCCCCGCTTCACTTCTAGATGAAGTCCTCAGGCATTTCATTGTTATGAGAGGTTATCTATATATTTGAAGTATTTTAATAGCATTGTTAAATTTTATCTAGCTTTTTAAAATGTTTGTTTTAAGTGAAATTCACAGTTAAAGTAGTCTAACATCTTCCAAGATTCCCATCTCTTGATTCGCCATTACAATGGCCACTGTCTAAGCCCACTAACTGTGGGGCAGGGGCTCTTCCTCAAACTACTCCTGCGGATTAGCCATTGCTGTACTCACTTCACAATGAGGAAACCGAGGTACATGGAATACAGATTTCTCCTGAAGAATATCCAACCAGTTGACAGAGATGTCATTTGAAAACAGGTTCATCCATCTCCAAAGCCCATGTACAGTAAACCAAACATTCTCCCATGAGCATCAATAAATTCTAGGAAAGAGCCAATGACCTAAAATGTTCTTAAAGTTGTGTTTGCTGGTGTGTACATGTGTGTGCCTGCTTTAACACACACACACAATCTGTATCGGTGGAGCAGAGAGTATTTAAGACCTAGTGCTATCATGGTACTTGGTTCAGACAGTTTTCACTGATTTGCTTCCTTTATGTCTGTTCATTCAATAGCGTCTAATAAACACTTTATTTCCCTTCTCACTGACTTTCTATTTATTCAGTATTTTCTGCCGCAAAGGCCTATTGTGTTCAGGCGATGAATGTCACAGCATGCACACTGCTTTGTAATGCTAGGGACTCTGAACAATAATTTTACTTTGAAGTTAAAAAGTAGTGGGGACAGGGAAGATAAGATGGCTGTGTAGAGACATCACAGAAAATAAATGGGTGTGTGAATTTATAAGTTTCTAAGAGAAGCCATATATGTGTAATATTACACTTCTGCTGAATAAGTTGCCATTAATAAAGTGCATTAATAAGTCTTTCAAAGATACAAATATGATCTTAGATTTGCTCTCCTTTCAAATGTCTATCATAGTAGGTACTGAGTAGTCAGTTATTATACATACATTGAATTAAAAGTTACCTATGAGAAATCACAAATCCATGATAATATTGTATAGTTTTTCACATTGAGTGGTGTAGGTCTTAGGAAAGCATCTTCTTTTATTCATCAGCCCTAATGAATCACAGATTTTTACTTCTCAAAGATATCCTGGTCCGTTTTCCTTTTATATGGAATATTCAAGGTCATTTCTTGAGCTCAGTATCTGAACTTTGTACCTCCGGGCGCATTTATCAATGTGCCAGCTAAGTGACTTGCACCCACTAGGTCCACAATACATCATTATTAACAATAAAGAGTATTGTCTTTTGAACAAATAGAATTCACACTTAGTTACAGCTTTCTGGCTATCAGCAGCTGGCCTACCAGATGGAACAGAAGACAGAATGCATAGCCAAGTCCCAGAAAGTCCTAAACAAATCCATATTGTATGTCTCATACCTAAGCTCAAAAGGAGACAAAGAACACCTGAGACAAATGTTCTTCACATGATTCCACCATCACAACGCCTCAGCTAACCTTCACCTCCTTGTAGAAGCCAGCCACAGTAACCAACTAAAACAGGGTCCACTTAGTTCTCCCCAACCTTCCCATGCTAGTTACGCTCTCTGCACTGCTTAAAACTTACTAGACTTTGTGACTATCTTAATTGTCTTTTTAGTCAAATTCTAATTATCTTTCCTTCTAGACTACTCATCATGAGGTCAAGGATGAACTCTTTCCTATGTCCCCCCAACAGAGTAGAAATCCAGTATTTATCTAATGAATACCAAATTCAGTGAAGTCAGCCTAACTCCTCTTTAACCCAGAAATGAGAACCGTTGTTCAAAAAAAGCAACCACTCACCTTGGCACAACTTCATTTCCATGCTTAGCACAAGCTCCCCAGGCTGCACACCTGGAATCGTGTTTCACAGACTTGCGGGGTCTCTCTGCAGTTGAAATGTTCTCTCTATGTAAAATCCTCCTGTGCTCTCTCTACTGCTCAGCAGTAGTTGAGACGCAAGCCACTTGTGCAAACTCTGAAAGATACTGATAAAAGGAAAAGAATGACATTTGCTTCTGGCAGTTTTACTCAAAGGTATGTGCCTGAAAGTCAGAGAAAGATATCATGAGCTGTAGGAAGTAGGAGAGATCTCTGAAGAGAACGTGGGATAAGGATATTCTTAGGGCAGTGGCATTTTTCCACTGTGCTCAGCAAGAGAGAGCCGTTCGAAGAGTGAAAGAAGAGTGAATAGGACTTGGCATACGAGGAAAGGAGAAAGACAGCAGCACACTGACTCTCATCTCTCAGATGCCATGACCTTGAGCCTTACAGAGTTTCTGCACGAACTACGGTCCAGTGGTACACAGAACCAAGACTCGCATCATTGCAAACACTTGCAGCGATGGCATAGCGAGGGAGTTAAGCAGGGCATAGATGGATGAATCTGATCAAGCACATATCTAGTTTGACAAGAGACATAGAAAAAAATAGATAAATAAAAGATCGCTAAGAAAGATATTGCTTAGAGGAAGGGAAGAAAATTGCCCTAAATTTTGTTATATTTCAGCTGAGATTTCCCAGAAACATTCACCAGAGAAATTAGCTGACTCCCAATCAGTGTTCTAATGCAGCCATTTATAGTGCTTCATGCTGCTTCATTGCCCAGGTAATTACTTTTCATCAGCCTAAAATTCTCCAGTACTTTCAGCTGGAAAAGTGAGTCTTCATTTCCCCATGTTAGGAGTCAGTTGCAGAATGTTATTGACCTACTTCTTCTGTCATCTTCCACTTGAGTGCAGGTGCGTGTAAGAGAGTCCTGGGCATTATTTACAGTGGCTTTCATGAATCTTTTAAAAATGGTGCTTAGTCGTATGGGTAGAAAAAGGTATGAATGGATAGACTGGAGAATACAGTATAAATGAACAAGTGAATAAATGAATGTTGTGTACCAAGAATAACATTACTCATCACGTTTGCTCATTCATTCATTGAACAAGCATTGAAAATAAAACATTATTCCTTCTTTAAAAAAAGTTCATATGTGCATTTATCAATTGGTATTTAATTAGAGAATCAGAACCTGTTGGAGTAATATAGACTAAGAGGTTAATTACAGGGTGGTCACTATGAGATTACAATCTGATTAAGCACTCTGTGTGTGACATTTCCTTCTGTCTATACTGCTACAGTCTGAAGTCCACATGGCAGGGAGTCCAGAAGAAAAAAAATAAAATTTGAAGTTCAAGAGAGAGATAACAAACAGGAACCATGGAATATGCCAGAACCCATGGTAATAAAAAGGAGCCCTTATCGACTTTTTATGGCTCCTAAACCTTCAACTTTGGTGATGTGGATGACTTGCAGAAAAAGCGGATTCCCTTCTTTACGGAGCTAAGCATACACCTGATTTAAGAGCCGGAGACAATGAAGCAGGACAGCCATGTTTGCAGGACAAGCAGTAAGGTCTGGCTATTGCCTCTCACAGTTAGGTGAACCAGCCGTTCTATGACAATATGTGTTAAACTCAACAGCACCTGAAACTTTACCCACCTGCTCCACATAAAATAGTTAGCAAAAATTTTCTATGGTGGCTTAGTCTAGCCCAGAAGCAATCACTAAGAATTCTGGAAAATAAACTAATGACACTCAGAAACCCGTGTGAGAAGAATAGCAGAAGGCTTGGGAAATACATTGTAGTGAGTGTAGAGCCTCCAACTCATATATATATATATGCCATGAATATACTTAGTTTTTTTATATTAGGTGAGCCATAAAAATCTATTTTTATGCTTAAGCAACCTCAACTTGGGTTTCTTCCACTTGAAATTTAAAGAGATCTGATCAATGCACATATTGCATGAGAAGGCAGAGTTAGGAGGTATGAGATGGAAACTGGAGGAAGGAAATTTGTTTGGGAAAAGTAGTGTCTAATATATTTACATGCTCAAAATAATAAATTAATGAAGGAACACAAGGTACAAAAATGAGAAACGTCATGGTATACATGAATGGAAAGTACAAAGGAATTAGTATTGACTTCTTTCCCATAAATTTCATTTCCATTAAAAGTGTTTCCAAATGAATTAGGCTTCGTTGTAGTTCCAAAATAGACTTTATGGGACAATTTTCTGGTCATTTCTTATCATCATGGTGATTGTCATGGTGATTAACATAGAACTTTCCAGCACAAAGAGCAAGGCATCTGTGTCCAGTTTTTTGCATTTGTTTTCCTTGAAATGTTCAGCAAAGCCTAATATTGTTGTGGGTTAAAAATTACATTAAGTTAAGGTAAATTAATCTACTTAAATAGCTTAGTACTTAAAGCTAATTCCTCTTGTGCTATCAATACTGAGATTCCAGGATTAAATAGGGCTGGGGGGAAAATGAAGTTGCAGGGATTATGAAGTTCTTTTATTCATTTATTTTCCTGAATTGAATTTCTCCATTCTTAGCAGTGTTTAGTCAGAGTTCTTGGTTACCATGACGAAACTGTCTGGAGGCACACACTCTACCCAGTTTTGACCATTTGTGTTTCACTGTAATCATTCATTAGGGAAAAGAAATTTCTCAATGTGCTCTCCTCAAAGATTCAAACAGAAGTCTGTTTGCAGTATACCTATAAAAGGTTCTTCCCAGCCTGATCCTAGTTTCTAGAAGGAAAGACAAATAAGATAGTTACAAAGTCTAGTAAGTTTTAAGCAGTGCAGGTGTGCAGAAACCCAGGGAAGAGAAAGCATTCTTATAGAGAGGCATAGAGACTGTCCTGCATGTGAGCAAGTCAGGGAGAGCTCAACTATTTCATCCAGACCACATATTCTGCTCTTCACCATGATATGTACTATGTGGTTATTTAAATTTAATTATCTCCAACATATCAGGTAGCTATATGTCTATTGGAAACTTGACTTACAGTGGATTCAGAAAATTGAGATTTATTTTTTTATAATAGGAAAACAACAGATGGGGGCTGCTGGTATTTGTTTAGAAGCACATTGTGCATTTCTGGGCTGTCTTTCCTGTGATTTTGTAAACAGTTTTCTTTCCTTTTTTTCTTTTCTGTTTTTTTTGTTTGTTTTTTTTTTTTTTTAGAGAGATTTTTGCTATAGGACGTATGTGCTTGCTGGAGAGACAGAGAGACAGAAAGTGAGAATTCACCTCTCAGGGGTGATGGCCATGCCACAATCCTTTCTCCTCCATCTCCTCTTGGGATTTTGGGCACACATGCACATGCTCCTGGCATGAGTTTTAAGCAACTGGGTCCAGGATTCAAACTGTGGTTTACTATGTGGGAGTCCAGTGACATAACCATTATGCCATCTGCTGGTCTCAGTTAACATTTTTCTTACTACATTAAGGATTCAAGATGGCTGGTGCCACCTCAAAATTTGTGTTTATACCAGGGTGGGACAAGAGGGGACACTATGCCAGTCGTCTTCATTTGCATTGGTTCTAAAAAGCAAACATCTTTCCAAAATATCCAACAGACTTCCCTTCTATCTCAGTAGAATAATTATATCACAAGACCACTGTGAGACAACTGAGGCTGGGTTTCTGATTGTCAAGAAAAAGGGGTGAATGGATACTGGGGAGGAAACTAATGATTCTAGCTGTATTTGCCTAAATAGTTATAGGTTCCTTGAATGCAGTGACTAAGTTCAATATTTCTTTCATGTTAACTTTTCCTTTAAAAATTTTTGAGATCTTGTTTGCTTTCCCTGACTACAACTGAGAGGGAGTTGGCCTGTCATACCTGATGGCTCATTTAAGTTAGGAATAAACCAGCACTAGACCAAAAATAAATGATAACTTAATAGGTTAACTTAATATGTTAAACTGACAATAAGGTTAATATATACACTGCACAGTACAATAGTCAAGTAAGCTGGGAAAGTAAAAGAAACAAACAACAGAAGGCTCAGATCTTTCAAAAATTGGTGATGTTTGTGTATTTATATATAAAAAAATGATACGCCTCCAGTCAGGGGAAACAAATCTTAACTAAAAGAAAATGAAATGTATTGTTATAAGTGATTTTTAAAGGCAATAGAATAAGGGATTTTTTTGAAGATTTCATAAGGGTATAGTTCTAGAAATGTTCTTTTTCTTGACATTAAGAAATATAGAACTTGAAGCTTAGGTATGTGTGTTTAAAATATAAAAGAAACTACTACTATAATCAAAATGAAATATATAATTTTCAAGTTAAAAGAGAAAATAATAGAGGATAAAATTTAAACAAGAGTAAGAAGTTTAAGAAATCCTCTTAAAAAAGGCATAAAAACAGAAAGCAAAATATAGGTCGAACTTGAACTTTTCCATTCCAGTTGTTTCTGTCAAGAACAACAATTGTGGTAACTATGGGTATAATAGGAAAAATATAATCTATATGAAAGTAAATGAGCTGATGATGCATGGGCATTTGAGAATCCAAGAGAAAATGTGAGAAAATAAGCTCATTTTCTCCTCAGAGTCTTCTCTAATAACTGGGGGCAAAAGGAGAAGACCACAGTTAAGCAAACAATATTTAGTCAATTATAAAACAAGTGAAAGATTCATCAGACTTGGGGTTTACAAAGGATGGCAGAATATGGAGGTCAAGAATCCAGTGGAGTGACTGGCAGCTAGCACAAGGACTATGTCACTGAACTCCCACGTAGCCAATCATGGTTCAAGTCCCGGATCCAGGAGCTTAAACTCATGCTGGGCACGGGCACATGTGCATGTGTGCCCAAGATCCCGAGAGGAGAATGGAGGAGAAGGGATTGTGGCGTGGCCATACCCCCGGGGTGTGACTTCTCACTTTCTGTCTCTCTATCTCTGTCTAGTGTGCACACGTGCCCTGTAGCAAAAACCTCTCCAAAAAAAAAAAAAAGAATCCAGTGGACAGAGGTGTAGGGACACTAGCTCAGTGCTGGTGATCTTCCTCCATGAGGCATTTGTTGAATTCGAAGCTGCACAGGGTAGGAATTAGGAGGATAAAAAGTAGCACTGAATCTAGATCTAAGTTTTTGGCAGTATCTTTGCACCAAGGAGACAAAATTGGAGTCCAGGGCACACCAAGAATAAAGGCCCTAGTAAACATCTTGGTCTTCCATTTGATACCTCTAAAGAGTTAGGAGAATATATGAACCAAAGAGAGTCTGAGCCTTTTAACCCAGACACTATCAAAGTCTGGGAATAAATGACATGTTTCTAGTCATGTCTCTAAGAAAATATGGCACTCTCTCTGGACAAATGTGAAGTATCAAGGATTTCATTAAAACATTAACAAGTGCACTAAAGATCTATTACATCTCTCTCTAGCTATTCATTTATCCAATGATCCTCCCTCCCATTTCCCTTATCTATACCAAAAAGGATGTACACTGAAAAACATGTACATTAGTGATTATATCAGTGTTATTTTTAACAACTAGAAAAAACTTAAATGATGGAATGCCCATGAACAGTAGAACAGATAAATAGGTTTCGTAATAATCAGACAATAAAACATCATACAGCAATGAAACTACTAACTTGCTTCTTGCAATAGTATGGATGAATCCCACAAAAAGAAAATGAATAAAAGCATCCAGATATAATGATATGAACTTCAAAGTCAAGGAAACTAAGCTGTGGGAAGAGAGGTTGAATGATGACATTCAGATGGCAAGACATGAAGGCAGTTCCACTGAGTGATATATCTGAACCTGAGTGGTAGCTGCATGGGAATACTCACTTTAAAATAATTCATTGAATTTTACACTTATCATTTGTACAATTTTCTGCACAGTTTATTAGATTTTTAAACATTAGTAAACAAGTAAAATCACACCTATTATCAAAATAAATGAAAATAGGCTGAATGGCAAAATGGAGATTTTTGTGTTGTTGTTTTGCCATGAGGTATGCACACTCATCAGGGGGATGGAGAGATAGAGAGAGACAGACAGACAGGCAGAGACAGACAGTGAGAGGGAAAGTAAGAAATCCCCCCCCCCCCAGGGAGGATGGCCATGCTGCAATCCTCTTTTCTCTATTTTCCTCTCAAGATTTTGGGCACACACGCTCATGTGATTGGTGTGATTTTCAAGCTTCCAGGTCCAGGACTCAAATTGAGATGACCCACATGGAAGTCCAGCCCTTCAACCACCACACCGTCTGCTGGCTTCAAAACTGAGACTTAAAAAAAAAAAGTGCAAATTGCCCAAGAATCATAGCAAAATAAAAATACCAAAAGGGATAATGTAATGCAGTAACCCTGAATCTGAGAGTTGAGCTAACGTTTACCTGGTCTTTAAAGAAATCACTCACAGGCCCAGCCAGCAAAAACATGGGTTGATTTGAATTACAGGAGGTGCTTACTGGTAGATAGCCTTTGGTAGGAGCCCGTTTCTCAGAATGGCACTGCAGCAGTTTTACAGTGGTTAGATCAAAACAAGCTGGGGTCCCTGTGGACATTAGTTTCCTCAGACCCTTACAGTTTTATGATCAGTGCCTGCTTTCCATACCTCATTACTAGGGGGATGTGTTTTCTTCAGATACCAACTTTAGCCAGAGCCTACTCCTGGAGGGTAAGAGTGGAGGGCAGCCAGATATAGAGGAGCGAGAAGACAGTCTATGTCCGGAAGATCCTCCACAGATGATAATAAAGAGATGGGCAAATAGTTGCAGATACATTTGAGATATAACAGACCATGATCTTAAAAACAAAAACAAAAAGCATTAACTCTGAAAAAGAAAATTTACTCTAAGGGATAAATGACAATAAAGATACAGCTGTCATGAATCTGAGTTCTGAATTCAATAACCTGAAGCATGTAAGAAAAGACTTAGAAATACCTGCTACGGTTCGAATTTGTCCCCCAGAAATTTATGTGTCGGGCTTAATTGTATTGACTGGGCTGTAAAAGTATTAAGTGAAAACTTAATTCCTTTGTGATTGCTGCAGAGTAAGGCTTAGTGGGCAGCGATGGGGTTCTAGTGATTGCATCCTGGAGGTGACAGACTTATGAATAGATAGATGAGGTCTCACGAGACCCAGTGAATTCCAGCTCTCCTGAAAAAGAGCTATTTCTCTCAATAACTGGTTGTTATAAAAGAGAGATCGATCAGGATTGCTCTCTCTCTCTCTCTCTTCCTTTCTCTCCCTATCTCTATCCCTCTCTCTTCTCTTCCCTGCATGATGCTATAGGCCTAGGACTTTGGATGTTGCTGCTAACAGAATCATGAGTTTGTAAACTTCTATCTTATTTATATGGTAGAATTACTCAAGTGCAGGTATTGCTATTAGCAATGCAAAACAGACTAAGACACAACTGGTAAGATAAAAGAGTAATAGTCTTAGTGGGAGACTAATATGTATTACATATTTCACAGTTCAATTAAATCAAAGTGCTGAATATAGTATTAGACTAATACAGTTAATATATTAAATCAAATAAATGACATAAAATTTTGTCCTTTATACAGAACATGCTCTCCTTATAGGGTTTCAATATGCTTACAAGCAAAATGTTAGTTATAATCATAAATTATCTATTCACAGTGTAATAGTACCTAAAATGTATTGCAGAATGATAAAGAAAACTATCCTAGTCCCTTGGAAATAAAAACCTAAACTTCTGCAAAATAATCTTTAGATCAAAAGCTAAACCAGGGCCTGGCAGGTGGCATGGTGGTTAAGGCACTGGACTCCCACATGGCCGACCACAGTTCAGGTCCTGGACCTGGCAGTTTGCTTTCTTGCTTTCCTTTTCACGCTCTCTCTGGCCAAATTAAAAAATAATAGTACCAGTGTCACTTTGGCAGTACATACACCCAAACTGGAACGATACAGAGGAGATTAGCATGGCTCCTGTGCAAGGCTGACATGCAAATTCGTGAAGCGTTCCATATTTTAAAATAAATAAGAGTAACAAATAGAATTATTTTTTTTTTCTAAAAAAAAAAAGACAGGGATTTTGGTTTGTCCATCCTGATGATTTATAGGATGTGAGTAATCGAGCTGATTTGGTTAGCGTACATAAATGGTTGCTTAACTAAGGACAGCTCTGCTGTGAGAGCACTTTATAAAAGCAAATTTCCTCAGAATAGGCAGCGCCTTGAGAACAGTATTTTCCTAAGCCTCGATACTGAGTGGTGAGTTGCACACACTGTATTTTTATATATAGCTGTGAAAAACAATTAGTTCTTTTCAGTAAATGAAAAGGCATCTCCAAAAGAAATTTTTTAGAAAATAGTTCATCAACCAAAGCCTAAGGGAATTGAAGGGAAAATAACTGCTGTAGAGGATTTAGGAAACATTTTTTTTCCTCTGCCACCAATTAGAAAAACAATATATTTAACCCCAGGTCTGTACCACTTGTGAGGTTGAGATCATTGTTTTTCTTTTCAATTCGACTCCCCAAAGATTTGCTGGGACACTGAGTGCTGAAATTATGAAGATGAATAAAAACCCTGAAGTTTGTCAGAGACAGATCTATAAGCATGTGTAATTCATCTTGTGGTTTCTTCTACTGGGACTTTATTGCAGAGATTTAAAAATATCAGTGAGAATTCTGGCATGTGGAGTCATCAACCAGAAATAACTTTGCATCAAATCCCCAAATGGTCTTTTTGATTGGCAGGTAAGCCCAGGCTGAGGAATAGCATTTCCTCTTTCTTAAACTTGCTCTGCCCTCTACATAAGGGAGAGAGCAGTTCCAACTAAAATTCTTGAAAGTAGTAGATTTAATGTGGATTCAGTTCCACACGAGTGGCAGATCCCTGTCCTATAGATAAAAAGGAGGTTAGAAAAGACTTCCTTGCCATCTATGGCAGCTAAGCATATAATACACAATTTTAAGACTAAACGGAGCATTAGAAGCTATTATTAACGCTCTCATTTTGTATAAAGGAAGCTAAAATCGAAGAAATTTAGATATTTTGACAAAGGCTACAAAACTAGATGGAACATCCAGAATTCTTGACCCTGAACTAAAATATTATCATATCAATGTTTTTATCATGTTCAACATGTTATTTTATCAGTTAACTATATCACTACATCACATGTGCTTACCAGAGAGAGATTAAAAAAAAAAAAAGCAAAAACAAAACAAAACACCCCAGTTGGGCATGATCATTCTACAATCCTTTCTCCTCCATTTCTTCCTTCATCCTGTCAGGATACTGACCACACACACCTATGCCCCACTAGGCTGGAAATCAAACCACGGTAGGCCATGTGGGAACTGGCTTCCCTTAATCACAAGGTACAGGGTTACTCCCTATACACAACCCCCCACCCCAAAATGTACATATATTTGACAAGCTCTGGAGCACAGATATACCAGGAAACATGAGAAATACATGGTCTTATATATGGTCTGAGTTTTCAAAAAGAGAGGAGATATAGAGATATACTGTGGAAATAGCAGACCATAAATTATTGCCGATTGCAAAGTGAGATTGCAGTGACCATTAGTGAATAATAAGATCCCCCTGGGGGATGATTTCTTGTTTTCTGTCTCTCTGTCTCTCTGGCGAGTGCACGCTCCCTATAGCAAAAACCTTTTCAAAAAATAAAAATAAGCTTGAGGGCCATCCCCATAGGCTAGTGACTAAGGGAGCCAAATCCCACATGGCCAACCATGGTTCAAATTTCAGGCCCACTGGCTTGAAAACACAAGACGTGCATGTGCGTGCATGCCCCAGATTCTGACAGGGTAGCGAGATGGAGGGGGACGGGCTGCGGCGTGACACTTCCCAATGGCTGTGCTTTCTCCCTCTCTAGTTCTCTAACTCTGTCTCTGGAGAGTATCCATGCCCTCTGACAATTAAAGAAAAAGAAAAGAGGGGACCAGCAGTTAGCATAATGGCTATGTCACTGGACTCCCACGTAGTCGACCATGGTTCATGTCCCGGACCCGGTGGCTTAAAACTCACACTGGGCGCATGTGCGTGCGTGCCCAAGACCCCAAGAGGAGAATGGAGGAGAAGGGACTGCGGCGTGACCATCACCCCTAGGGGGTGATTTCTCGCTTTCTGTCTCTATGTCTCTCTCTCTCTGTCTGGTGAACGCACGCGCCCTATAGCGAAAACCTCTCCAAAAAAAAAAAAAAAAGAAAAAGAAAAGAAAATCCGTGTGAAAGCTCATAATGTCATTCTAAGCCAATAAGGTAAAACTGGACACTAATAAATGCACAAAGTTCCATATTTAGGGCCAAAAATTCATTTGCATCAGTATAGAATGAGGTATGCCATGTGTTTCTAAAAGTTTTATTTTTCTAGTTCAATGTGAGTCTATAATCTCATGTACCTATGGCATTCTAGTGCTGAATTTACATGAACTTATAGACTGAGAGTGTACTGAATCACAGGGAACCTGAAACTCACCCTGCTTTGAGAGTTTTGCAGTTCAGATAACCCGTTTGTAGAGGAATGTTGGTCAATGAAAGTGCATGGAGCAGAGAAGAAAGAGGGCATGCAGATTTGGAGAAGCCAATAATGTCAATAAATCCAGGCTCAAAAGTAATCATGGCTGAAGGAAAACAGAGTCATCCATCAAAGATTCCTTTTCATTCTCACTACTGATTATAAAATAAGGAATGAGCCTCAGTTCCTCCCTTGAAGAATTCATGAAAAGAAAGCCATAAACTCACACCTTATGCACAAAGATAAAATATCCTAAAGAACATTGTGGGTTCATAGACACAGGAAATATTCTTAATGGGCCAAGGGATTGGAATATTTTAAAACTGGAAACATTTCTTTGGAAAATAGGACAAAGGAAAAGCCTATCCAAATTAGCTTGATAATGGGGCCAGCAGGTGGTGTGGTGATTAAGGTGCTAGACTCCCACATACCCAACTGTGGTTTGAGTCCCAGACCTGGTAAGTTGCTTTACGCTTTCGTTCTTTCTTTCTCTCTGTCTCCCTCTCTCTGTCTCTCTCTGATGAGTGCATGTGCCCTATAAGAAACTTAAAAACTTAAAAATAATAATAATAAATAATTTAAAAACAAAACAAAATAAATAAATTAGCTTAGTAGTACACTACAAACATACCACATTCATTTCGCCTTCATGTCTTTATTTTTTCCGCTACCCTAATATAACATCGCCTCTCCTAAATCCTACCTCGCCTTCAAGACTTCACTGCAAAGCAGGCTTTCTCATCATATCAGTCAACAGAATGTGGACCCACGAACAAGTAGTTCCAGGGCCAGAGGGTGGTGCATTGGTAAAATATTAACATGGCACTCTGCACCACAACCCTTCTTGAGAAGTTTCCCAGTTCAAGACCAGAGACCTCCCTGAGTATGCCATGCATATGTTTATCTGTGATCCAGGGCTGACTGAAGGCTGGGAGTGACTTACAGCTGCAGGACCCTGTAGGGAGATGGTGACTCTCTCTCGTGAAAAAAAGTAAGCAAACTTTAAAAAGAAAAAAAAGTCAGGTATTTCTATTACACTTGTTTCATCCTTTGTAACCATCTAATGCTTCTACGACCACTGAATTTCAGAGACCTGATAGTATCTGACGTTTAGAGCAAAGCAAACATCTTTTACAGCCTCTGACCATGTTCTGTATCAGACTGAGCAACTTATGCTCAAAATACCTTGAAGAGATTCAATTAGCCCATTTTCTTTAATAAAGAACAGGCTCTAGCCCAGACTGTGAGTCTTTCCCTTTGTCTCTTGTAGTCTCCACCTATGAACACTTTTCTTCCTACCTGAACTCCCACCCCTTTCGGTGCTGAATGAGAAGGCAGCAAATATCCCCACAGAGGTTGTCAGGTTGAAGTCCCAGATCTCCAACCATACCCCAGATCCAGAACAGACCTCTGTCCTAGCTGAAGTGGTTTTGTTCATAAAGATTCGAGTCACAGGGAAAACTAGTACCTTTGCATCCTAGTAGCCTAAAACTTGTCAAAGTATCTTGCTTTATCTTTCTGATTTTTTTTCATCTGTTACAAAGTTGCTAAAAGCCTCAGGCAGGGACAGTGGTTCTTTGGCTCAGTGGTGTACATCCCAGTGGCTTCTTCTCTTCTCAAAACCAATCTTTTCTGTCAAACATGCCTTCGCCGTGTTACAAATAAGGCTCATGGATCAGCCCTGCCCAGGGAACAATCGGCATGCTGGTGATTGCTTTGAAAGCAGTATTATACTAATACAGTATCTCATTAGAACACCTTTTCTGGGAGCTGGGGGTTTCTTCCCATTCCAAATGGAGATTACAGTGTTCATTATGTGTTCAGAAGTGCTGCTTCTCTGTACCATAAAACAGCCCAAGGAGAGAAACTCTTTTGACCTTTGTAATTGCTACAATATTAGGTAGGGTTCTTTCTCCATTTGAACAGAGCAATAAATACTGCAGAGATGTACATTTTTCCCCCTCCTAAAATGCAATTAAAATACCAGAAAAAAATCTTCCGAAGTTATTTTGTTGGTGCCACATCATCCAACTTCTTGGAGGGGGTGGGTGTGGGGAGGTGGAGCTGTACTGCAGGTGGTGAGACTCAGAGCCCATTTGGGATAATTTCTAGCAACTGGCTTGGGGCCTTTGGTTGCAGAATTAGCTCATCCAGGGCTTCAGCTCCTGGATTCAGACTCATTAAGACTGTCTTGTCAGGGTAGGTATGTGATCAGTTTCTGGACTGCAAACTAAGCCCAATAAATTGCTGACCTCAGCTTAAAAAGTTAATTACCAAATCTGGTGCATGTGGTGTAGAAAAAGGACAGAAACTACAAATTAATGTGCAGACAAGCAGTTTTTTTTTTTTTTTTAAATTAACTTCAAAAATATAAATATCCCACCACTACTGCTTGGTCTGAGCACAGCCTCGATTCACCTCTGAGGCACTGTTTCTTTTCTATCTGCCAACCTGTTTCCTTGTTCTGTTCTCATCCAAGTGCCT